AAGATAATAAATGAACTAAAATGTTAGCTCATAATGAGCTAACCCTTAGTTCAATAATTGAACTAAAGCCAGCTCATAAATGAGCTAAAAGTTCAGCTCAAATATGTTAAACTACTAGACTCAAGGGAAGCCAAAATTTGATTTATTTTGGACTTGTGTTGACCCCCCCTTTGTCTACATCAAAAGAGGTAAATTTTAATTCTCAATTTAATGCTGCAATACATGTAAGAATTGGGCCTGGTCCGTTCAATTGAATCGACCTGTTACTGTAACAGAGATAGAACCGCGGGCAAAACAGCAATCGAGCGGGCCGCATGCATGCATGCATTTTCCTGGATGGTTTGGATCGCTGTTTTACGTGGATAATCATGTGAGGGAGTGAAAAAGAACGACTCTTCATGCGAGATAACTTTGATTCATTCACTCCAATGCAAGTAAACGAACGTGAGAAGCTTCAACCAAGAGGAACTAGGCCGAGAGGAAGTAGAAGGAGGCGGAATGTAGGTTTTCCAGTTTTATTCTTTTTGTGCTAATTTCTTATGTTATTTAATCTTATGAAATGATCAATTGTCTTAATTGAGCGTAGAGAAAGAAAATTTGGAAGAGGAAGAATTTGGAGTTTTTGTAGTTTCCTCTATCTTTGACGACACAGGAAGGAGTAAGTGATTTAGTTTGATAAAATTTATGCACTTTCATTCCTCTTATTCCTATAATTGAAGAAATACAATTTGATTGTCAATAGGAAGAATCCAAGTGATGTAAACTTTGATTCGACAGTGAAGGAAGAAAATTTGCTAGGAAGGAATGGAAGCTTTGGTGAGGTAATTATTTTGATTTAATAAAAATTTTGGGGTGAATTAGAGCCATTTAGTGTTATGTTAATGATGTTCAATTAGGTAAAAGTCCTCTTTAGAAACGTTTGAAGTAATTTATGTTGTCATAAGAAGAGCAAGAATACTTGATGTAGCTTTGATGATAAATTTGAGTACTCTAAGTTGAATTTTTTATTTTAATTAAGATCTCATTAATGTTATTTGAACAATAAAAGGTTTTCATAATTGAGTTGAGAAGAGTATTGAAAATTTATAACAAAGCTTGAGGTTTGAAATGAACTGAAGCACAAAAGTAATCAAAATGAGTAATTATAATATAATTGTTTTATTCAAATTCAGTTTCTTATTATGTTATTACAATTCCCTTTTAAGTATTGCAATTATTGCATATTATATGAATTAATGGAGAGGACAAGGAAATGAAAATGTGAATTATTATTGTATAGGTGATATAGTTAAATGTTAAATATATAAAAATTTTGAGAATGATTGAATTACTAAGGTTTATAGTGTAATGTATATACAAATAATGATTTATATGAAAATGAAAGTATTAAAAGAAAAAAATGTACATGCATTCAAATACAGGAGTTCACTCTCTTATGGTATTGATTGGAGACGCAACGTACTCTTGCACGTTTAATGAAAATAGTTGTACCTGTATTGTTACAAATACTTAGACGATGCTCCTATACTAAATGAAAATGATTAAGTGTTATTTGAAGAGAATTATGTTGTTTGAAATCAAAATGATATATATATATATATCAAAGAAAGTCAAATTAATATAATTATTTTATGTATAATTACTATACTACAAGTATAATTATCCACTGAGTTTACTTTGTAAATTCAAACTGTTAAACTAAAATTTTTAGGTAAATCTTTTAAAAAGTAGAATGGTTGAAAGAGAGTAATATGTGTACATAAGAAGGCGCTCCAATGAAAGCAGGTAACATCTAGTTTATGTATATGTTCAAATGTGTACGTTGTGTTAGTGGTTCTTTAATTTTTATATGGGATGTAAATATAGTTGATAAATTGTATTTGAATTTAAAAGAAATGTATTAAATGTCTGATTGTTTGTTCATGTATCGTTAATTCAAGTCTCTGAGCCTGATCGTGACAATACACGAAGAACTTTATACCTATCTAATGACTAGTATTAGTTAAATGCTCTTTCTCATTAGATGTAGGAATAATTAACCATAGAGGCTTGCACTTAGGACAAATCTAGAAGCAGTTATAAAGTCCTCACAAAATGAATGCGGAAATTTTAGGTATTGTCTTATCTTCAATCTAATATGCCTTTTAAACTTCTGACCTAGAGAACATTCTAAACTCTTCAACCGGGATGCCATTTTTTGAGCCGAACTTTGTATTCAACTTGTTATGGGCCCCTTGAATTTTGCTTCATCTCTCCTTAATTAGAAGTAGCATGGCTTAACAACTTTTATACTTTGAACTTCGAATGTTTCTGGCACATGCTTCTGATTTTAGGTATCATGGAGTGATTCTCACGTTGACTATCAAATATTGACTGGACCCAACCCATTAATCTTAGGAAGAGAATCACTGCCCTCATGTTTAGATTTTGTTTTTGAACCGCAATTATTAGATCAATAGTCCAATTTTTTATTTTAAATAGGGCATCTATATAATGTTTTATATCCTTATTTTTTCCCACATGCTTGATGAATAGTTGAATTTTACATAAAAACAGATGAAATCTGATACACAAGAAATATTTATGTTGTAGTTCATAATCAATTGTATGATATTGAGTTTAGTTTATATAACACAGTAACAACAATAAAATTGGGAGAAAAGTCTCTCTCTCACATATAAATAAGGCTTAAAGACATAAATTAAATTTATAAAATTATAATGGGACCAATAGTGTTTTATGGATTTGGGTTGTTGAGTGGAAGAGAAGTCATGGATTGTCCAATTGAGCGAGGTAGAAAGGAGTTACCAAAGAAACTACAACATAAATATTTAAAAATATTAATGTGGGAAAAATTAGAAAGGATGGTTTTGGAGATATGGATGGATGATGGGATTAGCATTTATTAAAGATAAATGAAAAAAAAGATTAGTTTTTGAATGATAAAAAAATACACAAATAAGATTGGTGATGTAAAATTAATGTGGAAATATTAGGAAAAAGTATAAATCAATGTTACATGGATGGTGTCATGCAAAAAGATTTGTGCATATAGGTTTGGTAACTCATAATTTGGTCAACATTAACAATGAAGAATGATGACTATAGAGATGATATTATATTATTAGGATCTAATGACGATTATCTTTATATTACAAACTCAACACGTATGGACACACAATTAAATTGTACTATTTAATTTTGGTCATTCTGTAGCCTCTTCATAATGAACAAACAATCAACTAGAGCCACATTCATCACATAATGAACAATCAACTTTGGGATATGTAGAAGGCCCATAGAGTCTGGCCTTGAATGATCCAAAATTAGGGAAAAAAATCCAGTACCAGTGGACTCTGTTACTAATGATCTAGACTACTATGATATCACACACACAGTGCAACTATACGCATATTAAATTGGAGTATTTGGCTTCGGCCATCTTGTATCCCTTTCGTGATGAACAAACAATCAACTAGATTCAGCCACATGACTCGCATCTTTCACATAAACTCTGGGATAGGTATGTAAGGCCCGTACAGCTTGGCCTTGGATGATCTTGAATTAGGAAAGAAAATCCACCACTAGTGGGTTCTGATATTAGTGATCCGAAAATTTCATATTGGAAAAACTATTGGAACTGGTAGGATGGTTGATAGCTTTGTTTTACAAGAAATTGATAAGCCTTTTGATTTTCTGTGAGGATCAAGAATTATGGTTTATATGGTTCTTGTGGAGGAATTTTTCTAAATCCCGCATCCAAACTACCCCTTTAGATTCATGAAAATGTTAGGATTTTAGGGCAACCTAGGGTGTTTTTACAATAGAATTAGATTGAATCAATAAATTATAAAAAGGAAAAAAGGGTTTAAGATGAGAGTATTACCATGCACAGTATTTTTTTTGAGAGAAGGAAAACGATTTCATTCTTTTTAGAGAGAGAAGAGGGGCTTGAGGGAGATTTCTAGTGAGAGAAAGTGGGATTTATCTCTCTGTATAAAGAGAAAGTGAGGTGGACGTGGAAAAAATATTCTATGTTTAGAGAGAGAAAATGAGTGGTGTTTTTAAGAGAGAGAAAATATGAGGTAGAAGGGAAATAGAGAGTTTCTCACATTGTTAAGAGAAAAAAAGAGGAATGGAGATCAGTTGTTGGTTGGATGTGGTGAAGAGAGGAATAAGATGAGGAAAATTCCTTTTGGAATTTCTTTGTTTAGAGGGGAAAAGTGGAGAGTGAGGGTCGATTTTTTTAGTGGAGAGGAGAGGAGAGCCAGTCGCGACCTTGGCTGATTGAGTTGGACAAAGTTGGGGCTGAAACTGAAAGACCAGATGTGGGTTGGCATGAGTGTGCAGCACCGAAGCTGGTAATGGTGGTGTGTGATTGGCCGGGCTAGGGAAGGTGGAGGGTGTGACAACCGGTTCTTCCGGCCGGTTCAACCGAACCGGCCGGCCCGCCCTTTTAAGTACCGCGAACAGAAACAGTTCGCGGAACCGAGCAGTTCGCACGAACAGGGAGCGGGCGGACGACAGAACGTGCGAAGGAGGGATTTCGAGTTTTTTTTTTCGCCATTTTTAGCAGTCGATCGCGTTGGTGGATAAGAATTGATCATTCCTTTTCATTTCTACCATTAAAGGAATGTTATTTTGGGAGAAATTGCAAAGTTTTGATGATGAGTTATTTTATACTTTTGGAAATGTACTACCGTCCGACTTTTCGTACCCGCCTCGTTAGATCGAGCATCCGGGACGGGTCGTGACAGAGGGGTTCGACGCTTGTAGCTAAGGAAGATCTAGAGAGAAGAGGTGGCTTCGGCTAGGGGCTTGTGCGTGCGAGACAAAGAGGAAGGGGGTCGCAATATTGCACGAAGAAGGGAGGATTTTCATTTGAGGGAGAGTGTGGTTGCTAACGATCGAGTGAGTATGAGGAGGTTGTTGTATTGATTGTGGGGTTATGTGAGGGCTAAATGAGCGAAGTGTTTGTTCTAGTTATGATGTTATTTTTTTAAATTAAAAAATGGATAGATGTGTCCTTTTGCTAGCAAAAGGGGGAGGTACTTTTGTACCTAGAAGATTTTTAAATTTATATTTTTTTTAAACATTTTTTTATTATTTAAAAGATTAACTCATAATAATAATAATAATAAACTTATATTAACTCGCTCGCTGATTTTTCATTGCTCAAGGGCGTAAAATTTCATCTAGTTTCAGTCGCGCGAGTGGAATTTTCACCATTTTTCTCCAATATGAGTGTCCTTTAGTGGCTATTTGGGTATTCCGAATGCGATGACACTTGGGTGATTTTGTGCAACATCGGGGTATATGAAATCCACCTCGCATGGTGGCATGTTAGTTGATCATTTTTCTCGTCGAATGCGCACTCATTTATCACTGAGTCCATGTTAAGGGTCAATAGTACACACACGCTTTTGCACACAAGAATGCAAGCACATGTGGACACATATACAAGTACATGCACACATGCCAGCACAAAACATTGATTTGGTCTATAATGTGACAACTACGAGATGTTCTTTCTTATTTGTACAATCACTTCCGTGGTTGGATAATGGGTTCACTACTCTTGAAATCAATACTTTTGCATCTGACACATCTCATAATCTCTTCTTCCAGTCTCATTTTTGCCACGTCATCTACCTAGATTGTTCCCAACTCATTTGCATCTTTAAGGTTTCTTTTTTTCCCTCAAACTTCAATGTTGATAATTAAGCTATTGAAAAGGGTATTCCTTGTCTTTCGTTAATACCAGATTTAATATGACTTCAGCTCCCCAGCCCAAGGCTTGTATGTGCGTGGCAGTTTCAAGCCATTGCATCCAGCGAGACCTACCTCTACTTCATTTATCTTGGTGTCTCTGATTTTCATGTGCTTTTCGTGTTTGTTTTTGGCCAAAATGAAGCCCATAGAATTGCCACAGTTGCGTTCGTATCTTGTCAAATAAGTTTTTGGATTTTACTAGGCTCAGTCTAAATTAAAGTTTCATTTTGGATGGCTTTCTTACTGGCTTTCTAGTATAAAAAATTTAATTTTTAAACTAAAAAGCCGTATTAAAAAGCAATAAAAAAGTTGTCCCAAACAAAGCATAAGCCTTTGCCTGCCAAATATTCCAGGCCTTCTCTATAGGTCGAATGGCATTATAAAAATAACTATGCAATCTTATCTCTCGCTTTTCTGCTATCTATTGTGAGCCAGCTAATCTATTTACATAATGATTTTACCTTTATGACATGCCATAGCTTTTCTTTTACTATTAATTTTTTATGAATTAAAAGGAACCCTTGCATAATTGACTCTTGTGGCCCTACTAAATTTAGCTTTTCTACAAAGGTTGTTCCAAATACAAGAAGTAGAAACCAAATGGGGGAACTGACCGATGGTGGGTTGTTTGAGATATTTCAACAAGACTATGGGCCTGTAGGAACCCCCAATTTCGAAGCTGCCCGTGAAATGTTCATGATCAGCAGTGCTGGTTATGCTGTTGCCAGCCTTCTACTTCAGCCGAAGGATCGTCATAATGGCAATCTTCTTTTTGACAAGTATGTAATCTCTTAAATTGTTTTAGTTGTTGATGTAGATGTAGATCCATATGCTGATTCATTGTTCATCTTGCAGCAAGGGAAGGCTCGTCCATATAGATTTTGGGTTTATACTTGAAACTTCTCCTGGTGGCAACATGCGGTTTGAAAATGCTGACTTCAAGCTTAGTCATGAGATGACCCAATTGCTTGATCCTTCAGGAACGATGAAAAGCGACACTTGGAATCAATTTGTCAGGTGATTTATAGATCCCCCCCCCCCCGCCCCTCCCGACCCCCACCACACCCTCTTCCCCTTATCTCTGGTAGTCTTAATATGATTTTCTTTCCCAATATAGAACGGCTAACCAACCGTTATTTTCTCCGTGCGGACACCGGACTTAGAGATAAGTCCGGACATCCATTTAAAATGTGACACGTGCAGTACGCTTTTGTTGTATGTTTTTGTGCGCTTTATTTGCACTTTAGTTGCGCTTTGACTTCTTTTTTGTTGCGCTTTGCATGCGCTTTTGATGAGAATGGCTTAAAGTTCTGCATACACATTAAATATATAAAGTACCTCCATGTGTCAACATTTTAGTGGAGTCCGGACGTATCTCGACGTCCGGTATCCGCACCTAATAATTTTCCGCTTACTAGTGCTGCTTTTGTTGTTTGCATTACAGGCTGTGCGTGAAAGGCTATCTTGCTGGGCGGCGACACATGCATGGTATTTTGACGACGGTGCTTCTGATGGTGGACAGTGGACTTCCATGCTTCAGCAGAGGAGACCCAATTGGGAATCTCCGAAAGCGATTTCATCCGGAGATGAATGAACGAGAGGCTGCTAATTTCATGATCCGTACCTGTATGGATGCCTATAACAAGTGGACCACCGCCGGCTATGATCTCATACAGTATTTGCAGCAAGGCATCGAGAAATAGGTTCACGTTCATCCCTCCTTTTCTTCCCTGCTTTAATCGAAAGCTTTTCCTATTAAATATTTTCTTTTTCTGCCCTATTTTCTTGTTTGGTATTGAGCGGCTGATTCTTCGATTTGAGTTCTTCAATTTTATCTGCGCGTAACATTGTCATGCAAGGGAAGATCATCTACCAGAGATATACTCGTTTGATATGGATTTTGTTAAGAAAAGTTAAGAACAATGTTCGTTGATAATGATAACAATTAGCTTGACGGAATAAAGTGATGGAATCCCTATCAAATGAGATGAAGGAAAATGAAAAAGGATTTAGGTTTTGTTTGGGATAGTTTTGTTTTTGTTTTATGAAACAATTTGCTAGTATAAAATTTTCAATTTTAAAAAAAAATTTAATACTAAAATATTGTTAATAAAAAAATAAGAAAGCTTATCAAATGAAGTCTTAGTTTGACTTAATAATTTATTTTAGGGGTTTTTACATACATAATACTTAAAACTATATTATTTACACATCTAACACCTAAACTTACCTATTTACACATACCACTAAAAACCTATTTATCTTTCTAAAATACCACTCTGTTTCCTCTCCCGTGAAAACGCGTCCGATACCCTTATTTGCACGCAAAACTCATCTTCCTCAGCGTTTGCTCATCTTCTTCATTCCGTCGAAGAACAAAAAGCATCTCTACTCCTGTCAAAATGCGGCCCACCATTCCCATTGATGCCTCTCATCTAGCCTCCTGTATGTTCTACCTCTAAAATAGAACAAAATCGATTAGGCAAATAGCCTCTCGTATCATTCAAACTTCTGTTTCAGTTGTTTGATGCAAGTAACTGAAGCAGATAAGGAGGTTTATGGCTGGTGCTTGTGAGATCTAAAGGTATAAACCCTAAAAGCAAAAAAAATAAATAAATCAATATTCTTACATATAACAAAAAAATCATTGAAACAAATTGATATTTTACATATAAGAATTTCTTCATTTTGAACCACAACTGAATTTTTTTGAGAAATTGTACATATATCCAAGTTTGATAAATTATGTTGTGGTTTGAGAAGCAATGGAGAAAGGAGCTGCTATTTTTCACCGGAGCTCCTCTGCTTAGTTCGCTTCTCTCATATTCTTTGCCCTGTTTGCTAAGTGAAGAGCTTTGTTTGTTTCCTCTGCTTGGGGATCTATGTTACTGTGAGATCTTTTGTGTTTGTTGAAGGGATTTGCGAGAGATGATAGGATTCCTTCTGTTGATGTTTGTATGATGTCCTGTAATTTTGTCTTGTGAGCGAAGAAGTGAGCGATCGAATGGGTTTTCACGGAGCAGAAATGGAGTGGTATTTTAGAAAGGTAAAGAGCTTTTAAGTGGTATGTATGTAAATATGTAAGTTTAGGTGTTAGATGAGTAAATAACATAGTTTTAAATGTTATGTATGTAAAAACCCCTTTATTTTAGCAGTCAGGGATAGATTCTCATTGCAATTATCTATTTAGAAAACTCCTAGGCACAAAATAATAGAGAATAAAGATTTTGATCGAGGACAATAGATTAATAAAGTGAGAGAGAAGTCTTAAGGATATCACTAGGTTTTGGCTATAAAGTATAAGTTGATTTGACTTGAATTAATTAGAATACGTTATTTTTATTCTTAGGAATTTTATTGGTAGGCTTAGATTGAGGCTTATTGTTAAAGAATTCCTGTGTTTTAGTAACATATTAAAATTACATAGCAATGGTAAATGATTTTTGCAGTAAAAATATCTAAATCATTCTATTCAATAATTGCCAAATATTTGGGTACCCTTGCGAGTTTTTAGTAAGGATTTATTTTTTAAATTGAGATTTCAGCACTAAAATAGTAATTATATTTAAGTACAACAACAACAACAATATCAAGCTTTTATCCCACCACGTGGGGTTGGCTACATGAATCAATTTTCTTCATTGTGATATATTAAAAGTCAAGTTCTCGTTCAAATCTAATAAAGAAAGGTCATTTATAATATTTTCTAACCAAGTCTTTTTAGGTTTGTCTTTACCTTTTTTAACATAAGTCAAATCTAATATCTCTACTCTCCTAATTGGGTCATCGGAAGGTCGCAGTTTTATGTGACCAAGCCATCGAAGGCCACTCTCTCTAATCTTATCTTCTACTGGCGCTACTCCAACCTTTTCACGTATATGCTCATTTTTTACCCTATCTCCAAGGTAAAGCCACTCATCCACCTGAGCATCCTCATCTCTGCCACACTAAACTTGGTATTATGCTTCTCTTTTAATGGCCAACATTCGGCACCATAAAATATTGCACCACCATCTTATAAAATTTTCTCTAAAGATTGAGGGGTACTTTTCTATCACACAACAAGTATAATGCATTCCTCCACTTCAACCATCCAACTTGTATGCTGCTGATAATATCCCCATTTATATCACCATCACTCTGAATAATAGATCGAATATATCTAAAATGTGTACCCTTATTAATGACTTGATCGCCCAAAGTCACAATCCCCTCATTAGGTCTATTATTACTAAAATTATACTCCATATATTCTGTTTTAGATCTACTCAAGCGAAAACCTTTTGACTTTAAGGTTGACCTACATAATTCAAGTTTACCTTCAACTCCCTCTCTAGTCTTATCAACAAGAAGAATATCAACAACAAAAAGAATACACCAAGGTACATCCTCTTGCAAATGTCTAGTGATAACATCCATGACTAAAGCAAAAAGATATGGGCTTAAGGCTGATCCTTGACGTAACCCCACTGAAATAGGGAAATACTTGGTCCAACCACCTTGTGTTTGAACACAAGTAATAGCTCATGCATACATATCTTTAATGATTTGAATATAAGCATTATTAACTTCTTTCTTTTCAAGACTCTACATAGCACTTCTCTTGGAGCTTTATCATATGCTTTTTCTAAATAAATAAATATCATATGTAGATCCTCCTTATTTTCTCTATATTTATCCGTCAAACTTCTTAATAAAATGTATGGCTTTGATAGTTGACCTACTCGGCATGAATCTAAATTGATTTTGAGAAACATTAGTATAACGCCGCAACCTATGCTCCATAACTTGCTCCCAAAGTTTTAAAGTATGACACATTAATTTAATTCCTCTATAATTCGTATAATCTCGTGCATCACCTTTATTCTTAAAAATAGGAATTAACAAACTCATTCTCCACTCATTTGGCATCTTTTAAGTCTTTAAAATAGTATTAAAAAGTTTATTAATATGGACAAAATTATATGTCAAGTTAAAATAAATATTTATTATAAAAATATCAAAATCTTATTGGATATTTGTCTCAACACTTGAGCAACTCTTGATGAGTTACAAGTGCGGGAGAAGATCATTGAGGAAGAATTCCCTTCGGCAAATTCTCTAATGAGTTAGTCTTATGGCGAGCTCATTTTAAATGGGCAAAATAGCTGTATATAACTTGGAGAATTTGATTTTATTTGGGATGATTTTTTTTAAATTATTTTTTAAAGTAATTTTTTTGTATAAAAATTTTTAGTTTAAAATATTTTTGTATTAAAAAATATTTTTAAAAATAATAACAAAGTTGTTCCAAATGAAGCCTTCAAATGCTAAATTCTATAGACAATTCTGGCTATTTCAGCATAAAGATCGACGAATTACCGTCCAAATTGCTGCGTATCTATCGAGTATTTGTTGAGTATTCAGTAAATATTCAATAAAAACATAGTAAATCAGCAAATACTCATAAAATATTCAGTAATACTCACAACTCAGTATTTAATGAGTATTTATCGAATATTTATAAATACATATAAATATGAAGCAAATCCAAATGATTCCACCATCCGAACTCAAGCAATATTGCAAAGGTCTTCCATATAATTTGATCCCATGAAGCAGGACAAATCCTGTGAACCTTTTAAGCTTCTCTTCATCTCACGTAATGCACGTCCTCCACCCACGAGAAAGCAAGTAAGAGTCCGCTTTGCCGTTTAGCTTTGCTCTACAAATGGTGAAACGAGAGCCTCATCATCTCTCACATTCTGATTTGTTAGTTCAGGTAGATGCACCTGTTTGATCTATTAATGGCGATTCTCTCCTTCTTCTTGCCGCTTCTGCTCCCTTTGGCGCTACTGCTGCTGGTGATGCCGACTGGTTTTGAACTCGGAGCGCTACGACAGGAGGCCGACGAGCGAGCGCAAGTTGCCGCCGGGCTCTTGTTTGAACATCCTCTCCGTTGGCCGCCGTTTCAGCAGCAGAGATGGCCGCGGCCTGCTGAGCTGACGGATCATGGATAGGGCTTGATTATATAGTCAAAAACTATTTAGCATAGTTAGAATTAATAAGTAACTTAATAATAGGGGTGTCAATTCGGGTCAGTGGGTCGGGTTCGGGTCGAATCCGAATCGACCCGACTCTAAACGGGTCAATCTGAACCCGACCCATTTTTATAAGCATTAAATAATTAAGTTAATATCTTATTGTATTTGGGGATTTGCATACCCACTTGAAACTATATATTTAATGCTTACAATTTATCTTGTACATAGTTTATCACTCATTGTTAACTCCAATTATGAATTCATCATGGTGAAGAAGTTAGGATCCAAGGGGTGAGTGCCATGATAATAGGTTGTAGTTTAGGTAGGTTGGGCGGACAGGCTAGGGGCGGACAAAGTCGAGATGATAGTAGTAGGATGATCAGTGGTCAGCTTCAGGTAGTAGGTAATATGTCTTGATGACGACGAGGTCCAGTCAGCTTGAGTAGAGAGGATTCGAGTTACGTATGTCTCTCACCGACTAATCTTGCAATATCTCATCTAGACTTCTTGGTCTCATGTATCAATTTTTTTTCATGCTCAAGAGTTTCATAGTGAGAGTCAGCAGCAGGATGAACGGTGGCTAGTGTCGGGCAATGTGTAATATGGCTTGATGACGATGATATCCAATCAACTTATATATAGAGGATTCGAGTTACATATATCTCTCACTAACTAATCCCGTAATATCTCATTGTGACTTCCTGGTCTCGTGTAACAATTTTTTTCATGTTCAAGGGTTTCATAGTAAGAGTTAATTGGAGTGCTAGATTATGTAAATATTCAAATTTGTGTTAGATATATAAATACTGTAATTTTGAATATTATATGTAAAGCTCTCTTAATATTTGTTTGATATGATATTGTACGCTCTAAAAAATATTATTCAATAATGAATAATGAATAATTCTAAATAAAACATTAATTTTAACTCTTTTCTTGTAATTATTAGAAAATTTTCACGAAAACCTTTTTTTATATAAGTAAAGCTGAAAAT